CATGCATGCAGGCAAAACACACATAAAAAATAAAATGAATTTATCTAATAAATTGTAAGAAGCACCTAACTATAAAAGCCCCAGGGCCAGATGGATTCAGTGCAGAATTTTACTCTACTTTCAAAGAACAAACTCCTCAGTCAAATCCCTTTTATGAAGCCAGTTTTATCCTCATACCAACAGCAAAGACCCAACAAAAAAAGAGAAAATTATGGACCAATCTCCCTGACAAAAACAGATGCAGGGATTCTCGATAAAATATTTACAAATTGAATAAAAGGACACATCAAAAAGATTACCCATCATGATCAAGTTACCTTCATTCCAGAGATGCAGGGATTGAGTAACATATGTACATCAATAAAATCCACCACATAAGTAGATGGATCATCTCATTAAACACAGAAAAGATCTTTGACAAAATCCAACATCCATTCATGATTAAAATCCTGGAGAAAATAGGGATACAGGGGACTTAATGTAACAATGCAATGCACAAGAAGCCAGCACCATCCTAAAGAGAGGAAAACTCAAAGCATTTCCACTAAAACCAGGAATGGACAGAATGTCCACTCTGCACCTTCCTGTTTAACATGATGCTAGAGAGTAAGACAAGGGAAGGAGACTAAGGGGACAATGAAAGGATGAAAATAGTCTAACTCACTAATGACCACTAAAAATTAGAAATTTTAAAATATCCACCAGCATGTATTTAAAAATTACCCTAGCTACATGCAAAGCTCAGGAAAAAGAAAACATTTGAAATAGCTTGGTCATGATGACCAGTTTCTGGAAATTATTATTATTCATAACCACCTAGTTTCTGAGGGATGTTATCCACAATAACAGCCTGGGAATTGTTATGGGTCATCCTGTCCACAAAGAAAATTAATAAAAGACAGGACTCATGGCAAGAAGGGAAAACCAGAAGGAACAAGTGCTTCTGCCAATAGATATAGATAACTCCCTGACTGGAGAGTACATTCTCCCTGCCCCCATTATCTTAAGGACAAGGCCACAGAGCCCGCCGGTCCTAGAGAAAGAAAAACCCCCTAAACTTGCAGGCGCTAAACAATCCCGCCTTGTAAAAACTTTGTACTCTTATGAAATCTCTGTAACCTTGGAAACCTTATTAACCATCCGAGTTTTGAACTGTCCTATGACCTTGCTTGCCTTGCTTTTAGTCCTAGTGACAATAACAGGCTAGCTTTGAAACGGGCCTTGTTAGCTTTGATGTAAATCCTATAAAAGCTATCTCAGTTCTGCCCTCAAGGTCCTCAGTCCTCTACCCCTGCATGGCATATGACTGTGGACCCCAGTGCACTTGGAATAAAAATTCCTCATGCTATTTGCATCGAGACCGCTTCTTGTGAGTGATTTGGGTGTCGCCTTTCCTGAGTGGGAGCGTGAAGGTCCACACTCTGCAGGTCTTTCAACACAAGGGAAGAAGCCAGAGCATTTTTATTTGCAGATGATTCAATTTTATACATGGAAGACTATCAGAAAACTACACCTGATACTTTCAGCAAAGTAGCAAAATACAAAACGCTCAAAAATTAGTGGCAAACACACCAAGATAGAGGTCAATGGAATGACCCCATTCACAATAACCTCAAAACTATCTTGGAATAAATCTGAGGAAGTGAAAGACATGTACAATGAAAATTTTAAGGCACTGAAAACAAAACAAAAAAACAAGAAATTGGATATGATACCAGAGGACGAAAAACCTCCCATGGTTTATGGATCAGTAGGATTAATACTGTAAATCCCTATTAAAATTCCAATGCAGTTCACAAAAACTGAAAAAAAAATAATAACCTTAAATTTCATATGGAAACACAAAAACTCAGGATATCCAAGAAATATCCTAAAATCCTAAACAGCAACAACAAAAAAACTTCTGGAGGTACCACCATCCCAGATTTCAAGTTACACTACAGGGTTATGGTTCTAAAAACAGCATAGTACTGACATAAAAACAGACTTTGAACCACATATTAACCTACACACCCACAGTCACATGATTTTTGACAAAGATACCAAAATACACATTGGATAAAAGACAGCATTTTCAAAAAAAAAAAAAAAAAAAGATGCTGGTCAAACTGTAGAATAAAACTTCATTCTTATCTCTCACCCTGCACAAAACTTCAGGTGATTCAAGGACCCCAACATAAGATCTGATATCCTGAATTTGATAGAGAAAATAGAAATACACTTGAACTCATACACACATGGAAGGACTTTCTGAATAGGACCTCAGTAACACAAGCATTGAGATCAACAATCAATAAACAGGACTTAATGAAATTAAAAGGTTTCTACACAGCAAAGGACACCATACTCAAGCAAAGAGGCAGCTTACAAAATGGGGGCGGGATCTTTACCAGATACACATCTGACTGTGGGTTAGAGTCTAAGTATATAAAGAACCTAAAAAAAAAAAAAAATCAAAAATGTGACATGAAACTAACTAGGCTGCCTTAGTTAGTGTTTCTATTACTGTGATAAAACACCATTACCAAAAGCAAACTGTGGAAGAAAGGATTTATTTTGCATACACTTCAGCATTTCATCACTGGAGAAAGTCAGGATAGTAACTCAAACATGGGCAGAAGCTGATGCAGAGGTTATGGAGGAGTTGCTTACTGGCTTGCTCCTTATGGTTGCTTAGCCTGCTTTCTTATAGAACCCAGGACCACCAGCCCAGGGATGGCACCACCCACAATGGGCAGGGCCCTCCCCTATTGATCACTAATTAAGAAAATGCTTTACAACTGGATCTTATGGATAAATTTTCCTCCATTGATTGAGGCTCCCTCCTTTTTGATGACTCTAGCTTGTGTCAAGTTGACATAAAACTGGTCAACACGCTGAGAAACTTTTTTTTTTTAATTTTCAACATCCTTAACTATCAGAGAAATGCAAATTAAAATTACTTTGAGATTTCATCTTACTGTTGTGAAATAATCTTTTTGTACACTGTGAAGATGTGTCTCTGGTAAGGTTTAATAAAGAGCTGAATGGCCAATAGTTAGGATTGATAGGTGGGACTGGGAAGAGAAACAGGTCTGACAGTGAGATGGAGCAAGTCAGATGTACAGTGTGGAGAGGTAAGAAGACATGTAGCAGAACATAGATTAATAAATATAAATGGGTTAGTTTAAGTTATAGGAGCTAGTTGGGAACAAGCCTAACCCAAGGCCAAGCTTCCATAATTAATAAGCAATCTCTGTGTCATTATTTGGGAGCTGGCAGTCCAAAGAAAGTCTGACTACATCTTATCATAGTCAGAATAGCTAAAATTAAAAAATAAACAAAAAACAACCAATGACAAGTGCCAGCATGGATGCATGGAAAGGAAACACTCACTGTTGTTTAGTGTACAAATTGGTGCCGCCACTATGGAAATCAGTGTAGAGACCCCCTCAAAAAACTAAGAGCACCCACACTCCAGCTATACCAATCCTGAGCATAGACCCAAAGGACTGTATTTCCTACTCTAGAGATACATACTCATCCACATTCATTGCAGCTCTGTACACAATAGCTAGGAAATGAAAACCCATGGTCTGTCCACTGATGGATAATGAAGATGAGATATATATATATATATATATATATATATATATATATATACACACAATGGAATATCACTCAACTGTCAAGAAGATGATGAAATTCATAGGTAATTACATGGCGCTAGAACCAATCATTCTGAGGGAACCTAGACCCAGAAAGACAAACACCACGCTTCCTCTCATTTCTGAGTGTTTTAAACTTCCAGATATGTGTGTTTCATTTGGAATTATTCACAGGGCCACAGGGAGAGGTTTTCAAAGGACAGAACCTAGAGCACAATGGTATAAAGGGTGAAAGGGGCATAACGTGACAGGAGGGTTAAATTGGAGTAAGGAAAGGGAGGGTAGAGTAAAGGAGGGGATACAGACAGGGATAAATAACATTAAAGGATGTTGGGGAAAGGCATGGGTGTCTGTAATCCCACTTTCTGGTTGGATCTAAGTCTCACATTACACACTGAACCAATGGCAAGACAAGTCCTTGGCCCCTCCAGAGAACCTCCACTATTAATCTAAATACACATAGTATTAAAGGGCTCCTAATGATGTATCACAAATGAGAAGATTCTATTTGCAGTTAATGATTGACACAGAGACTCACAACTGGCCAAGGTGCCCCGCGTAGGAGTCTGCCCAGCTCTAAATGGAGCATAAATACCTCACCATCTCCCTCAAGGTTCGGATCATATCAGAAGAGGAGATGGGAAGAGTGTGAGAGCCAGGGGTGGTAGATGACAAGGAGACAGAACTCTGGATATAGCAGGGCAGCTGAGCTTAGTAACTCACAGCGGTTAGGACAGCAGATCCGGGCAAGCCAAATCCCAAATCCCATCAAGGAGAGTCAGGCATCAAGTCCCACCCTAGCTAACTAAGGAGCTATTGGCAATTATTAACTACTGGGAGGGAGAGTCTTGTTTTTGCTTCATATAGTCCTTGGTAAGTTGACCCCGTTCCCTGGAAGACCACACATCCAAGAATATTTGAGATTCACAAATTGGTCTTTTGGTTTTTTGTTTGTTTGTTAGTTTTAAAGGGACACCAAATTGGAAGGGTAGGAAGGTGAGGAATGGATCCAGTGATTGGGGTGTGTGTGTGTGTGTGTGTGTGTGTGTGTGTCTGGGGTTGGGGGTGTGTGTGTGGGGGGGGTGAATATGATCAGAACACGTTGTACGGAAAAACCTAAAAACAAAAACAAACAAAAACCAGATGCTTCCGAAGCTCTTTGCACAGGCCTCTCTGAGGTGGCTTTTCTAGCCCATGCCATAGTTCCTAGGAGTGATGCAGGAGAATGTTGGGGGAGGCGGGTGGGCAGGGAGGCCTCAGGGTCCCTTGCCTCCTTCCAAGCTATGGGGCTTTGGCTTCAGGAAGGCCTCCCACCAGTCAGTGCCCACTCCGGACCTCCTGCTCAGACCTCACCTGAGAAAGAGGAAGAAGGGTCTCGGCGGCTCCACGCCCTGGGCCTTGGGGACCCTGGGTTCCAGGTGCGGTCCCAGCAGCTCCAGCAGCCCTGGGTGCAGCTTCTCCGCTTCGTCAAAGATGAACATGCTCTGGTGGCAACGCAGCCGCGTCTCCTGCATCTGCCACCGCAACTCTTCCTGTACAGGACACGGGGAGCTGCAGCCTTAGAGGTGGGTGGGCTCCTGCTTTATCAGCGCAGGTGCAGTGGAGCACCAAAGCTGGGCTCCACCCACCACAACTACCAAGCCAAGGCTTGGCTTCGGTCCCACCTTCCCAGGTGACTCTCCTATACCTGAGTTGAGCATCCCCACCTGGGAGTTCGTGAGAGAAGCCCCTTGGCCCAGAGAAGAAGCACGAGCCTTCTCCGGGACTAAATAAGTTCCACCCTGGAGCTAAGGGTCAATCCACCCTCCCCAGGAGCAGAGACTAGGGCTCAATAACCCGGAGAGGGGAGAAAGCTCAAGGGCCCAGGGCTGCCAGCCACACTACACTCCCTTGGCCTCTCAGAAGCAGAACTCCCACTGGTACCCACACTCTCTCGAGAGCCAGCCTGTTATGTCTGGTGCACGGGCAATGTGTAACTTGAGGGTTAGTAACCACAGGGGCGCCCCACCCCAAGACAGTACACCCTTCTCCAAACAGAAGCTTTGTGATTCTTTCAGAGCTGGGCACAGCTGCTTCTCAGGGCAAATCTGTACTACCTATCCATCTCAGCCTCCTCATCCCTTTGACACCCAAGTATGTGTGTACTGTTTCCCAGTGGGGAAGCTGACATCCTCAAGCAGTATTGTCACAGTCAATGCCAGAGAATTCCTCCTGGGAAATGCAGCTGTCCACTGCCTGACACATCTCGAGTCTCAGGACACCCTGCCCTTGCCCTCAAAGGCCATACTGAAACTACCAGGTGACTCAGGCAAGCTCTGTTCTCAAGGCGGACATAATCTTCCCAGTTTACACACTAAGTATAACAGTTGAGAGCCAACATGGGTGCGGTCATGGCTGTTTGCTCATGTTCAGGCTTTTTGCTACATGTGTAATGAGAAAAACAAACAAAACCCCCCAAATAGCAAAACAGTAAAGGAACATTTTGTCCATCAGCTTGCTGGCATATAACAAAATGCTATGGGAAGAATTGAGGAGGAGTCATGTATGATTGTGAACAAGCCATTTGAAACAAGCCTTTTTGCCTGCAGTTTTTGGCCAAGCAGTTCCCTAGGCTGGTGTCACTGTTAACTCAGTCCAGGCAATCACCTGTGAAGCTCAGCCACACATTCATGACCCAGTTTAAGTCTCGGGGAAGTGAAACAAGCCAGCCAAACATGCCCCTTTCTAATGAAACTGCAGTGGTGTGAACCAGCTAGGAAGAGGTCTGATAGCAGCAGGAGTCCAGAATGTGCGTACATGCATGAGTGAGGAGTGTGTAGTGTGTGTGTGCACGTGCAACCATGGGAAGTTCACAATGCTAACTGTAGTAAGCTAAGGAGGCTGGCATTTGGGGAGGGGATAGTAAAATTTATGATTTTTTTTCTATTCCACATTTCCTTAGATATATTGCTCCTTTTTGGGGGTTGGGGGGTGGCAGGATACCGTTTTGCAGCCCAGGCAGCTCTTAAATTCAAGATCTCCCTGCCTCAGCCAACAAGTGCCAGGCATATGCCACTGCACCTAGATATATTTCACTACTTTTAACACACACACACACACAGATCACAAAAAGACAAAACAAAGCAAAACCTTGTGATTCTGTTGGCGCTGTGTCTGGCTCCAGTATGCACCCATCATGGAAAGTTCCAGAGTGTTCTGAAAGCATGAGTTTTCTCTCCTGAAGCTCTAGGCTGCTTCTGTGAGAGGGCAGTGAGTGGCTGCCCATCCTGTACTAGCCTGCTCTGGGACCTACCTACCTCCTTGTGGTGTTAATATTTCCACATAGCAGAGAGGCCTTCCCCCAGCCAGGCCAGAGAAGCTCCCAGTACTGCAGCCTCACCTTGTACATGTCCACATGCTTGCTGTGGGGGAAATGGAATGTGGAGATAAACATCTTGACACAGTCACTCCTCATCCCATCCCGATACAGGTTCGCTGCCAGCATCCGTGCCACGAAATTCTTGCCTGTGCCGGACCAGCCATGGAATGACAGAGCCAAGGCCTTATGAACTTCGGGTGTCTCTAAGTAGCCCCTCACTGCTCTTAGAACCAGCTTGCTAGCCAGATGCTGGCCATGAAGTCGCAAACGTAGGTCTGATTCTAAGCCTGGAAGGAGGAAAGAGGCCATGGTGAGAGGCACAGGGGCATTTCTGTCATCTGATCCCTGTGACCTCAGAACAGAGAAGCAAGAAGGCAGATTTCACAGCAGATGGTAGTCAAAGGCCATTTTCTGAAGAATTTGAGAAATCAAGATTGAACTCTGAAGAATAGAATTACCCTTTCTGGATCCACCACAATGGGTGGACAGGCCCCACATCTCAATGTGCTCCCATCCCTACTTCAAGAGTTCATGCTCTGTCTGTCATCCCATCCCAATCCTACACAACATACTGGAGAGCAATTTCCCAAAGTGTTGTCAATTGGGAGGCCAGCCTGTTCTACAGAGCAGTGAGTGCCAGGATAGACTCCAAAGCTACACAGAAAAACCCTGTCTTGAAAAATCAAGAGATAAGCCGGGTGGTGGTGGCCCACGATTTAATCCCAGCACTCTGGAGGCAGAGGCAGGCGGATCTCTGTGAGTTTGAGACCAGCCTGGTCTACAAGAGCTAGTTCCAGGACAGCTTTCAAAACTACAGAGAAACCCTGTCTCGAAAAAACCAAAAAGAAAAAAGAAAAACCAAGAGATAGAATTGGAAGAACATTCAGTAAATACAGAATCTGCCCATTTTAATATTCAAAGTTTTTTTTTAAATACCCCCATTAAAAGAAGGGAATAGAAGGCCAAAGACACAGAGTAATTACTCTTCAATTTCCGATCTGAAACATCAAAGTCTTGTTAGAAGAGATCCCCAAATAACCGCAGACCTAACTTTTCTCTTATTGGAGAAGGGGAATGTTGAGGGGTTAAGTTTGTCACTAGTCGCTTCTCTACAGTCACCAACACCCCTCCCCACAGATCCCCCAACCCTGGAAATCATGGCAGCTCCAACCTGTAAAGTTGTTGGTGATCCTGCAGTCCCCGCCACTGTTGCAGCAGTCCTGGAAGCGGCAGAACCATTTGGTGAAGCTATCCAGGGCCCGCCGGCCCCACAGAGGAAGGCTCCAGTCTGGAAAGGAGATGCTATGAGATGGCAAGACAGTGATGAGAGGGACAACCCTGAGGTTTCTCAGTGACAGCGCCCAAACCAGAGTTTGGGTCCCAACTCCCAACCAGGCTCCCACATGAGCTCCAGTGTTGCCTCTACAAGAGGTGAATGTATCTGAGGTTGGAGATAATCACCGGTTCTGTTCACAAAGGACTTTCTCTAAACTAGTAAGTCGGGTAAGAATGGGGAAATGTGAGTGTCTAGAGGAATCAGGGCAGGTGAGGCGCGCCAGGCAGCCAGACCTCTTGCTGTTCCCAGGGGCTGCACCAGAGGTACAGTGACCAGGACACTGCTCCCACAGGTGCGCGACGCTGGTGAGGCTGGCAGGTGAGAGAGGCATCGGCGGTGGGGACTGCTCTTACCCAGAGGCGGCGTGGGGGCCTCCTGGTCCTCACAGTGATCGGGCCACACAGTGCAACTGAAGGACGCCCAGTACCGTCTGGAGAGGGACCCGACCGTCTTCAGCTGCTCTTGCAGGCGTTGGACGCCCGGCCAAGGGGACTGCTCTTCCGCCTCCTGCCGCGGGCTTGTGGCGCCACGGTGGCTCTGCGTGCCCGGGAGGCGCAGTGGCAGCAGCAGCAGCAACCAGAGCGTTCCATGAAGCATGACCGGCCCGTGCTCTTCCGCCTCTAAGAGTCCGGGACCCACCGCCACCCGCGAACGGGCGCCGCCCAGGATTGGCCTCGCCATGGTGACTGGCCCGCCTTCTGTGGAGGTTGAGCCAGCTGCTGTTCTCAGACCCGAAACCTACCAGAACGGAAACTCAAACTGGTGTCCCGGATTACAGGAATCCGGAGACCGACTTGAGCCCCTGTCCGGAACAGGACGCAGCCTATTCTGGGGGCATGCCTGTGACCTCAAGGAAGGTGACAGCAGCCCTGAAATGGCCACTGCCAACCACTCAGCTGTGCCTCCCACATAAGGACTCCCTTTGGTGCCCAGACCTCGTAGGAGGTCAGCTTTCTGCCAACCCCACAACAAAGGGGGGGGGGCAAACAGGAGGCGGGTTGTTGGCCTGGAGTCAGCTGGTTGAAGAAGCTGCCTAAGAATATTAGCAGACATGGCAGCATTCCCGCTGTGCTACACCCGGGTCTGGCTCCAGGGTGCTAGCACCTAGCCTAACCCATCTTTTGTTTAGCAATTAACCATGTTTCTCTTGACTGAGAGTTTTCCAAGGGTACAAAGCCTATACAAAACTTGTTTAGAAAGAAACCCAGAAGTACCTCCTGAATCAGCTATTTGGAAGTTTCCTCAGGATGTTGCTGTGGTTTGGTTTTTGAGACTCTGTAGCTTTGGAACCTGTCCTTGAACTCGATCTGTATAGACCATGCTGACCTTGAACTCAGAGATCTACCTCCTGAGTACTGGGATTAAAGGCAAGTGCCACCAACGTCCAGGCAGGTTTTGAAGATGTGGAAATCTACTTTTTAGATGTAAATTGGAGAACAATAGAAGTAGCCCTGGGCACGAAGGGGAAGGGTCAGTCCATAAGGTTCAGTCCTGAGAGACTGACCTGCCCTGCATCCGAGAAAGGCTAAAGTGATTCTTAAGGTGCCTCTGAGTTTTTTTTTTTTTTTTTTTACGGACTCACACCTTAATCCGTGCAAGCAGGTTTGACCTGGACGGCCAAGGTGGCCCCTGGTCCTTTGGAAAGGAAATGAAACAATATGGAGTAGTTGGAGATCGGCTTTTCGGCTTTCATGGCTGCCAATCCCGCAAAAGCAAGAGGAAGTCGAGTCGGGGAGACATTTGTGTTTTGGAAACCCCCGAGTTAAGGGGAAATTACATCATGTGAGAATTACATAAGTTAGGATAAGTACTTGTCCACTCATAATTAAGTTTATGAAGCTGGCTCAATGCGCATGGTGATGCATGCCTTTAACCCCCAATACCAGGAGGCAGGAACTCTCCGAGTTCAAGGCCATCCTGGTCTACATACTCACCAGCTACGGTTACATAGTGAGACCTTTTTAGAAAACATTAAGCACCCAGGCTTGGTCCTAAGGTTAGTATCATGGGGAGGTGGTGGAAATCAGTCAGGGATGAACCCTAGTAGAGAGAGGCCTTTGGGTTATTGGGTGGGTGGGGTGCATGTTCTTGTAAGAAATTATGGGTGGACCGTTTTGGTCTACCTACTGCTCCCTGGCCTGAGTATCGAACTGGACCCTTCAAGGCTAATGAACCAAATAAACCTTTATTTGCCACAGTAGCAGGACACTAGCACACAACTTTATGCTTGTTTGCAAACATTAACTCACTCAGTAAACATTACCAGTCTGCATACTGATTTTCTGAATGAGCCCTATTTACTATTTGTAGAACTTGGGCGTGCCTTGCTACTGGGCTATCCCCTGATTGCTCCACCCATACTTCCGTAATAAGGATGCAATGAAGAGCTGTCAAATGACTGCTTCATATTCAGACCAGCCTGGTCGAGAGTGAGTTTCAGGACAGGCTCCAAAGCTACACAGAGAAACTCTGTCTCATGCCATTTCAAGTTTGTTCTGCTTCATGCTTGTGGTTGAAGGTGTGAGCCACCATACCTGTCTGCTGCCTCTACCCCACCATCACAGACCCTTATCTACAGAACCGTAAACCCAAACATAACCTCTGCAAAAACAGACAGTGCTCTTAACCTCTGAGCCATCTCTCCAGCTCTTGGCTGAGGGTTCAAGATACTGGACTTCCATTTCAAAAATGAAAGTTCTTGGTACCCTAAAAATTCTATTCAGTGGAACCAGCTCTTTGTTTCTGCCTATGGGGCACTGTGCTGCCAAGTCCTGCTAGGTAGGATTCATAGTTCTTCATCTCACAAGAAGCTTCAAGAAAGGAGCTAACTACTAAATACCCAGGAAGCCCTTTAGACAATGACAACTTTAAAGTCTGGTACAACTGACTGTGTGGGCCTTTCAAAGACTTGTGAGGACGTCTGTGGCGCTCACCTATTGGGAAATTTAAGTAAAGGCAAAAGATAAAACATTTTGTCCCTTAAAAACAGGAAGAGCGGGGCATACACCTTTAATCCCAGCACTTGGGAGGCAGAGGCAGGTGGATCTCTGTGAGTTCGAGACCAGCCTCGTCTAGAGAGCGAGTTCCAGGACAGGCTCCAAAGCAATAACAGAGAAACCCTGTTTCAAAAAACCAAACCAACCAAACAAACAAAAAACAGGTAGGAAAATGGAATAGGAAGCACCAGGGAGAAAAAAAAGTATTAACAGGAAAACATAATACAATAATATATATTAAAATCTTTATTTTTTTTTCCAGAATTGAAACCCATAGAACACATTAGAAATTTGTTTGGTTTCTTACCAAGTACAACCTCTGTCTGCACAACAGCTCCAAGAGGAAATCCCAGGCAGATCAAACAAGAGGGCAGTGATGCTTACACCACCTTTTAGACAAATAAATTAACCTCCCAGTAAGTTATTCCCAGCTTACCCCAATAGTTTGGGGATCACTGTAAGTCCTAAAAACTCATGACAGTGCAGTACCCAGTCCCCATTCACCACCCAGACTAGGGAAATACAGGGGAGAAAAGCCAGCCTCCCCCATGGAACAAGTTTCACAGTCAGGTCACCTGGCTCAGCAGACTGCTCAGGAGATGCTTGGTGGATGTGCTAACCTTTACTGGCCAAGTCCTTTCTCAGAGTCAGTCAGCACTTCCTTGTGTCAAAGGAAATCCATGTTCCTTGGCAGAATACAACCCCAGCCACATTGACCCAAAGCCCTCTACCCACCATCCCGAAAGTCAGATCACAGGCACAAGGGAGCTTGCTGACCACAGCTGTTTTATGATCACAAGAGGTTGTTTGCTGATCAAAGAGATCCAGTGAGGAATAGGAATGAGAAGGGAGGCTGAAGGAGTGTAGTGCATGGGGATGGAGAGCCAAGGCATGAGTGTGTGAAAGAAAGCATGGATCCTTTGGACGGCAATGCTGTCACAGCACTGAGAAAACAGAAAAGCTGCTAAAATAATCTGTAATAAATGTAGCCGAATTCCTCCATTTTCTTCTTAAAATTTAGTCTTGACATTAACCCTGAGTGCAAACAGGGAGACATGCCTTAAAAATACCACCCATCTTCAGCAAACCAGAGCGTATTGTTTTAAAAGGAATTTTTATACAATGCAGCCTGAGACTAAGGAACAGTTTGAGAATAAAAAGTCTATACCTAGATTTCTCCTTTCAACTTCAGAATACATATATTTAAGAAGTGGGAGCAAATGAGGAATCAGCGATGGGTTCTGGTTTTTTGGTTTTGTAGTAAATGTATCCATGTATTCAGATGTTCAGCTGGTAAACATAATTTGGAGCTGACTTACCTCCTTCTGGTGACCTGATCATAACAGCCCTAACTCTAGTCAATGACCTAGAAAGAGACCAGAATTACAATACTTTTTAAAAACGCATCTATCCTTTTCCCCAACACAACTTCCTGTCTATAAATTTGGAGCTAGAAGCTTGTGACCCTCCCCTGCCAGCCTTGATGAGATTCACCAACAAAGCTTAATCCAACCCCACTTAGAACAGAGATTTATATTCTAACTGCTGTCACACCACTTTGGCTCACTTTATCTGCTGTGGATCTGCATATCTCCTAATACCAGGGTGTGAAAATGAAGTGTGACATGATTTCTGTGACTATGCTAAGGAAAAAGTTGTTTTCCTGAGCACCCTTTCTACCTGTTCTTTCCTTGGAAGAATCATGTGCCTTCAACATTACAAGTGAGGCTCCTGTCATTCACTTTACCAGTGTCCGAGTGCCGGGATGGCTGACTGCTGCCACCTGCTGGCTCCCACTTTTGCAAGCAGTGACCACACTCACCTCAAGTTCAACCGTTAATTTGCTGCACACACAGCAAGTGGCCTGGAAACTGGACTCAGTACCTCCTTTTGTTAACACTGTTTCAGTGTTTTGTGCTAATATTTGTTTTCTTAAGTTCAATATCCGCATTAAAAAATGCAGCCAAGTCCTTAATCTACTTCAAAATATACATAAAGTGTACAAACTTTCCTAATTTCATGCCTTTTAAAAGTTGTTATAGGCTACTAGGTTTCAATGTGAGAAATCTGAGGGCTTAAACTCAAAAGGTAGTTGCCTCATGCCAGGCTCCATGGCTGGTACTAAATGTCAAGCATGGCACTGAAGGCTGGTCTTGACAGAAGTCCATAACTGGACAAGAGGTGTAGGGAACACACAGCTCTGAATGCGGACGCCATCCCTAGCCCTCAGCTGTAATTTACCACAGCTCTTCCATGCCAAGCGACTTTGCCAGAGCACACAACTAACCCTGAACTTGACAATGCTGCAAGGAGGTCAAAGAATTCTACTAAGTACACCATCGGGTCAGAGCTCCAATGTGAACCAAAACATTAAGGATCTTTGTGGTAGTTTCGGTTTCGAGGCTCAGAAGGCTTAAGCTCTTTTTCTCTGTTACCTGCAGGGCCCATATCACAAGCTCAGTCCAGCTGCCAGCAGGACACTTTCTCATAAGAAAAGGCACAGACAAGGCCATCGCTGATCAAATGCCTTACACCTTAGAAGAGAAGCGAGATCGGAGTATGGTTGTTTATACTTACAATCCTAGCATGTGGAAGGCTGAGGCAGGAGGACTGCTGCCAGTTCAATGCTAGCCTGGGTTATACACCAAGTTCCAGACCAGCATGGGCTAGAGTAATAGCCTATAGTCTACCCCAAAATAAACAATGCCAATGGAGGGGGCAGTGAGGATAACAGAGATCACAGGTACCAAACTTGTATTATTTCTGCTTGTTTTGCTACTCTGGGCAAAAGATGGGCATGAGGGTAAGTCAGTGTGTGGCGGGCATCATGCTTGGATTGTAATCCTATTTCGTTTAGAAACGATTTTGGTTCATTTGAACAGGACTGGAAATGAATGTTTGCTTCGGACACATCTAAGAACCTAAATACGGGGGAAGCTGATTTTCACTAAGGCAACCATCCTCCTGATTCTACAGAGTGAGTCCCTCCCTCTTCTCTTCCCTGAGATGTCAAATCCACAGCACTCATAGCTAAGAGCTCCAATACCCTCCTGACCTTCCCTTCCTCTATCTACCTTAAAATGGGTCTCCAGCAGACTGTGCTATTCTGTCTGATGACACTCTGGAGGAGCAGCACATTTAATTATCTGACTACTTCTGCCTTTGTTTGTTTGCTTTTAAAGACACAAGGGACCGCAAAGTCAGTCTACAGAATCCATGGGTGTGGAGAAAGGACGGCAACTTTCATTCCAGACATACTCTGGAACCAATTCCTTAGCCAGTGTCATGCCTGCTTGTCCTTTGGTGTAGGAATAAGACTGACCCGAGCCGGAGCCTGCTGAAGATGCCAGGTAACCTCACAGACAAGCTCCCATGCCGACACTGCAGAAAACACCAAGCACTCCCAGGACCACTGTCTTCTACCACCAAAGCCCGCTGCTGGCCATTTGCAGGCCATCACATGCCATTTGGAATTGATTGTGCTGTTTCTCTAAAATCAGTGCCACTTGTTTCATGTTGAGAGTTACAAGTGGGAGAGCGGCATCCTGTCTTCCACAAGCACAGTGTCCATCCCAAACTGGTCAGTACACTGCTTGACTGTGGCAAGGACATTCAGAAGCCGCTGGTCCACAGTGTCCAAGTGTGGATCAGAGAGCACAGGGGAGATGGGGTCGTGGGCCATGGCAGATTTTAAGGCAGACTTTAGCACTCCATTCTTTAGGTAGTTCAGTCTATTCCAGGTTGAAACCCGAATGCTAGAAGAAAAAGTTTTAAAAGAAGTTATATAACATCATCCTATCAAATTCTGTACAAAGCTTGGATACAAGGTTTTTAAAAAAAACATGCAAAATATTTCAACTAAAAAAAAAACCTTCTATTTCATACTTACTCTTTACTAAAAGTAAGATGTACTGCCATGTTGTAAATTTTTGGGAGATACATATACAAAAGCCAGGCAGTGGTGGTACACGCCTTTAATCCCAGCACTTGGAAGGCAGAGGTAGGCGGATCTCAGTGAGTTCAAGGCCAGCCTGGTCTACAGAATGAGTTTCAGGACAGGCAGAGCTACACAGAGAAACCTGGTCACAGGTCACAAATGAGATATTTACAAAGATTCAGACATATTCATTGCAGGAAGAGGAAAACTGAACCAATCTAAATGTCTAACAAGCGAGAACTACTTCAAAATTATGGCCAATCCATCAGGGAAATATCAAGCAGCCATTAAAAAGGTTTGAATTCAGTGGCATGGGGAAATATCCATGATAATTATGTTGAGAAAACTGGAGAGAACTTCCATTCCCTGTCTGCAGGGAAAATAATGTGCATGATTAGAGCAATGGAATTACAGGGTTAGAATGAAGTTCATTGTGTTAACAGGAGCTATTCTCAGACTGCTCAGGGTGATTGTAACTTCATTATCTGAATATTTCTGAATTTTTAAAAGTCAACCATGACTTTTAAAAGTCAATAGAAAAATATTTACTCTAAGAACATTTTTTTTTTTTTTGGGGGGTCAAGAGATGATGGTGCACACCTGTAATCTCAGCACTCAGGAGGCAGAGGCAAGCAGATCTCTGTTAGTTCAAGGCCAGCCTGGTCTATAGAGCAAGTTCCAGGACAGACAAGGATACAGAGACAAACCATATCTCAAAATACAATCACCAATGGTGGTAGGGTGGGTGGGGGTATCTACTTTTTTGGAGATGTAGATGGCTCAGCACTTAAGAGCATTTATTGCTCTTGGAGAGGATCCATGTTCAGTTTCCAGAACCCACTCTGAGTTGCTCACAGTTGCCTGTAACTCCAGCTCCAAAGGACCCAGTTTTCTCCTGGCTTCTGCAGGCACTGCATTCAGGAACACACAGTTCCAGAGACAAACACAAAGACACAGACACATAGACAAAATTCCCTAAGTTATTTCACTAACTAACTGCTATGGTTTAGGTATTTATCCCCAGTAACACTCATGTGGGAATTCCGTTGCCACCGTAACAATATTGGGAGCTGAGACACTAAAGAGGCCACCAGTTCGTATGGGCAGAGGTCTCAGTGAAGCTGATGCAGCATGCTGCAGCTCCGTCTCCTGCCAAGGTAAAACAGTAAGAAAGCTCTTTCAGGGTGCCAGAGTTTTGATATCAGGCTTCTCAGCTTGTAGAGGTATGAGCCAATATATTTTGTTCTGGGGTTGGTAAGATGGCTTAAAAGGTAAAGGCAGTTGCCACATAAGCCTGTTGATCATGGTATCATCTCTGGAGACCATGTAAAGGTGGATGGAAAGACTCAGGGTAGCCTTAAATGCACAGAGATCCACCTGCTCTTGCACCTTAGGTGCTGGGGATAAAGCCCAGCTAGATTGTTTTTAGCAGGTGATAGGGATATTAAGCCAAACAGGCATGTAATACTATAGATACTACAAACTTACTGATGCAAAATTCAAAATGATTTCTCAGCTTTGGGTGACCTGCCTGTGTTTCCCTCAGCACTGTCAGGCTTTACAGGGCTTCTGGGTTATAGAAGTAGGGAAAGCAACCAGGATGTTTTAAGGCCAAGAAAGCTGATGTACTGGTACCTGAGCCCGAAGGAGGCAATGCAGGCAGGCACACCTGCTATTCATAACTTACATGCAACACTGATAGAGAGGGGCGAGGATGCTTCTCTCATCCAGCGAGGGGTTCCCAAAGCTGGAAATTAAATTAAGATAGTGAATTAGATCAAGTATTTGTTCCCTTCTCAGCATCAAAGCAAGAGCACATTCTGCAAAAACCCAACTGTGATCCTAGATAATTTCATGCTCCAACAGCTCAAATCATTTAAATTAAAAATAAGCCAGGCACAACTAATTAGACACAGGATCATTAACAGCCTGAACTAAAGAATCAAACAGCAAATAAACTCATGTAACAAGCACGCTTTTCCTGTCAAGATGCTGTATGATGCTGTGGTACATACATACTGTGAGTTCTCAGTGCAAAGGGTGAATGCAGAAATCCTAAGCCTAGACAGCTTTTAAAAGGCTCTCCCTGCTACAGTCCTCCAAAAGACAAGTGTGTATATTACTTCCAGAATCATTAAAACCTTATTCCTGCAAGCAAACCTGCTGGCAGCTTCAAACCAGAAAAACTGTCCAGGGGCAGACAAACGCATAGCAGATATAAAAATGGCATTCCATTAGGAAAGGAATGATGATTCTGGGAAAATGATCCCCTCTCATTTCTTTTTTTCTCTGTGTAGCCCTAGCTATTCTGGAACTTGCTCTATAGATCAGGCAGGCCTCAAACTCACAGAGATCTGCTGCCTCTGCTCAAGCGCTGGGATTAAGGGCATGTGCCATCACCACCTAGCCCCTTCTTTTCCTGAAATCTTCCTTTAGTGACTGGAGAATCTACTAGCCTTGATGACAGTGCAGGCAAAGCAGCTGCTATCCTTTGAATATTTTTGCTGCCCCCAAATTCTTAATCCCCAGTGCAAGGCTAAAAGAGGTGAGGCTTTTGGGAGATTCAGTTCAGGACATTTGGATCCCACGCCCTCCCACCCCAGTCCCCAGGCTCATCTCCTAAGGCATTAACTGCCAGCATGCAGCACTATGAGGTAAAGAAGTCTTCAGGAGCTGGGGCCCAGTGGGAGGAAGTTACATCACTGGTGTGCACTCTTGATGGAGATTTGCTCTGAATGTGCTCCCAGCCATGATGGTTCTGCCTCATCACAGGGCCACAGGCAATGAAGCCAACAAACTCCTGAAACTGAAAGAAGCCCTACGAGTTGACTTATAGCAGTATTTGTGTCTAAAAGCTAACCAGCACAGTGCCCTAGAGAATGTACCTTTTTCACACAGATACTGACAAGACAGTCCTGCTGTACCTTTTGGCATTATCAAGAAGGATAAGCATGCTAGCGCCTTCATCATCTTGAAAGCTTTCATAGTGATGGCGGTCGGCGTTGCCAATCAAGTAATCAAAAACAGCAGTGTCAATGATGTCCAACAGGCGTGGGCCTGAGTCATAGGGGGATGTTTTCTTCACAGCATCACAGTAGCTCTCATCATATTCCCACCTGGAGGCAAGGAGCATCACAAGGTTTTACCGAGTACCAGCTACACCTGCCTGTATGGTTGAGCTCCTAAGAGTCCTACAAAAGCCATGTGCAAACAGTCTGGTTGCCAGCTTGATGTTATTTGGAGGTGGGGCTTTGAGGTAGAAAATGAGCTGTTGAGAGGAAGCCTAGGAGGAGGATATGGCTACCCTGGCCTTCTTTCTCTTACTGCCTGCTTCCTAGCCACCATGAGGAGAGTAACTTTCCTCCTCTACAGCCTGTGTTGCCTCAATACTGTAATACCATAAGCCTCAAAGCAACATTGGGCTGAAATTTCAGGAGCTGTGAGCCAAAAGAACTTTTTTTCTTTTAAACTATTAGGCATTTTGTTAGTGACAGAAAACTAGTGAAGAAATTGGTACCAAGATAAGAGTCATTATTGTGACCACCTCTAACAGCAAGATTCAAAGGCTGTTAGAGAAGCAAAATTAGAAAAGTTTAGAGAAGCAAGCTAAGCACAGCAGAGAATGCTGGAAGCACACATTCCTGGGAAGCTTTGGTAGGGATAAGATTTCAGCAGGAATAGACAGCCAAAGCTGTGCTGATAGGTTTGGGATGGAACAGGGACTCCACTGGAAATAGACTAGAGGCTTATCATGTTGGACTCTTAAGGAAATCTGTCTATGTTTTACACACATCCTGAGACTTTGCAGAAACGGCTTATACAGTAGAGGCAATCTCAAGGGAATTACTGGCTGCTATTAGCCATATTTACTGTGAGAAGTAGAAGCAAAATGCGGAGCAGAAAGATATGAAAAACTTGTAGTTGCACCAGGAAAGAAACACATATAAAGTTCAAGCCAAAAAGGGTTATAGCTGCTGAAAGACTAGCACCATTAGGAAAGACAGCTTGAGGCAACTCAGGAACCTGCAACATCCTGCCCTGGATAAGCTCAAGATAGTGCTAGACCTTGGCATCATCCAAGTGATGCTAGTATTGTAGGCATACAAAACAAGGATTGTGGGGCTACTCCCACCAAGGTTCCAAAGGGGTCTTGAGAGGTTGGAATTCCTGCAAACAGTCCAAAAGTGTGATGCACGAAGCTGTGAAAGTCAAGACAAAGCTATGGCATATGTATGTATGTATGTATGTATGTATGTATGTATGTATGTATGTATGTATGTAGTTTTATTTTTGTTTTTTTAGACGGGGTTTCTCTGTGTAGCTTTGGAAGCCTGAACTGAAACTCATTCTGTAGACCAGGCTAGCCTTGAACTCAGAGAGATCCGAATGCCTCTGCCTCCCAAATGCTGGGATTAAAGATGTTCATCACCACCACCTGGCCACTAAGGCTTATATTTAAAAACAAAATATTTATTTGTGTGTGTGGTGTGCGTGTGTGTATATGTGTGTGTGTAAGTAAGTGTACCACATGTGTACAGTTGCTGGAGGCCAGAGAAAGCCTTCTGATCCCTGAAGCTGAAGTTACAGGTAGTTATGAGCCCCGAATTGAGAGCTAAAAATTCAGGTCCTCTGCAAGATCAGCAAGTGCTCCTGACTCCTGAGCTACCTCTGCAGGCCCCCATGGTGCACCCTGTGGAGCCATCAGGAGCTGTTGAACCTTCAGGTGTGATGGCAGTTAAGTCACTGGGAACATGCCTTGAAGAGAAAATAGGGATATTCCAGGGAATCCCCCTTAGTGGGTTTGCTCCTGCTTTAATTTCTGGGAGCAATGACACAAGCAGCTCTTCTGCCACCACATGCTGCTGCAGTGATAGACTTCCACCAGAAGCCCAAAGCAATGTGGCCAAGTGATTATGGACTGAACTTCTCAAACTGTGAGCCAAAGTTATTTTTAACTCTTCTTAGTGACAGAAAGATAGCTGACACATTGGCACTGCTGGAAACAGGGACAGGAGCAGGTTTGCTCATACTCCACAATTATTCTTACTCTTGGATAGATGGCTGGCTCCTATTCAGGAAGGGCAACTGGCATGGTATAGCCAAGAATGAAGAAGCATTTACCTGGCCAATTTGCCTTCTCGGTAAGTCCTGCCCCAGGGGTGTCGATGTTTCTGCAGGGGCCACACATCTGGAAGCCAAAGTGTGATGGATCCTTCCATCATGTCTCCATCAGCACACGCTGGCTCTGTCTCTCGGCAGTAATAGCACTTGCCATAGAAGCATGTATTATTCCCTGTAGGATAGAAATTAGTCTGATACACTTAAGGAAGAAAATTAAGAATCCAAATTCTCCCCCCAAACAAGATCAAACAGCTAAGTAAACAGCCATCACAAAAATTAAAATCTTGATGTTAGTCCATTTCACACAAGTGTTTTCCTATATAGGTAATAAAAACAGACAGTGTAAAAACAATCCCCAATAAATGAAAAGCTATATACTAGAAAGCAAATCTTCCTGTGTGTTCCTTCTACCCAGCCTCTCTTCCAGAAGTGAACTACCATCACAGTCTTGCTTTCAACCCACAATAATTAATGGAAAACAATGTCTTCCTGTTCTTTTATCAGAGCTGAGGTTTTGGCCAAAGTGCTCAGAGGAGAGAGTTTGGTCACATATGGGGGAAGTTGAAGCAGGTAAGTAAATATACTGAGGAGGATAATGGGAAGTAGGTTTCTCACAGATAGAGAAGGAAGATGATCAGAGTAAATCCTGACATGAATTAGAATCCAGATACGGGTTAACACACACCAAAAGATAAAGACACAGTGTATGTATGTGCATTTACACATGTACCTGTGTGTATATACATGTATTTCCTACTCTGCTCTTCAAGAGAACCTAGAAACCATGAGATCTTACTCAAGTATCGGCTCCCGGTCCTTCTCCCTCTTTATCTTGTGGCAACAGGGCCTCATACATGCAAAGCAAGAATTCTACCTACCACTGAGCTATATACCCAGCCCTCTGTTTACTTTTTGAGGCAGGTCTTGAACTTACAAAGCCTACTTCCTCAACCTCCCACATAGCTAGAATTAAAGGCTAGCTATACCACAAGGCCAAGCTTCACATATCCTTTCCTAAAGTCTATTTTAATACTACTTTAACAGGCCACAAAAGGCCGCAGTGGCGGTGTGTGTGTGTGTGTTTGTGTGTGTGTGTGTGTGTGTGTGTGTGTGTGTGTGAGAGAGAGAGAGAGAGAGAGAGAGAGAGGGAGAGAGAGAGAGAGAGAGAGAGAACAAGCAGGTGCCTCCAGGGCTGAGTCAGGGAAGGTACTAATGAGCCTGGACTATACTGACATCACCAGCTATTTAAGTAAGTACTCAGAGAACAATGAGAACATTCCAAGGACATGATCTGGTCTGTAGGGTTCCAATGGTCATGACTGCAGTAGTTAGAATATCAACATAAAAATAATAATAAGAAATTACAACTCAGAAAGTTGAATTCAGTGAATTCATCATGATATGGATAAAGAAATGCATTCTAGGGTAGTGTCTAAACAGAATTCCTACCAAGAAAATAAAAACAATGACAGAGTTATAAATCTACCACTTTACAACTATCATAATAACTGACTTGTAAACACAAATGATCAATGTGCTAAATCTGGGGATGAAAGTTTGATAAGGAATGGAGTATTTACATAGTTCTGCCTGGGAATGTGATGCTAGCTGGTAAGCTAGCTAAGCTTTTGCTTAGCATGCATGAGGCTCTAGAGTCAACCCCACCCATTACTGGAGGTGGGGATTGGAAAGCAATTAGGTATTAATATAGTTGTGGAGTACTCTTGTATAAACAACACCTCCCCGGCTCTGAGATTATAAGTATATGCCACCACCATGTTTAAGTTGGGAGGTTAAGGCCTTTTACAGTTTTTAAAAAACATTTATTTAATTTTATGTTCATTGGTGTGAGGGTGTCAGACCCTTGGAACCAGAGTTACAGGCAGTTGTAATCTGTCAGGTGGGTGCTGGGAATTAAACATAGGTCCTCTGGAAGGGTAGCCAGTGCTCTCAACCACTAAGCCATCTCTCCAATCCCAAGGCCTTTTACATTTTGATAACTAGTCAGCAGTTCCCTCTTTTGACAGGCATGGTAGTACACACCTTTAATGCTAGCACTCGGGAAAAACAGAAGCAGTAGGTTTTCTGTGAGTTCGAGACCAGGCTGGTCTACATAGAGAGTACCAAGACAACCAGAACTATATAGTGAGGCCCTGTCTCAAAACACCAAAAGAAAACCAGCTATCGGGGATACAGATATGGTTTAGTGGTTAACAGCACTGGCTGCTCTTCCAGGGAACCTGCCTGGCAGTCCATGATTGCCTGTAACTCCAGTTCCAGGGGACTGGACTCTGAAGGCACTGCATGCATACACTACACAGACACATATGCAGGCAAAATTTCCATCCACATAAAATAAAAATAAATCATTTAAAAAGAAAAAAACAAAGAAAACCAACCAAAGACTCTCTCTTTGCTTATTTTTAGGACCATCTTCACAGTTCTTTACTCTCATGATTTTTAAAATAGTCTTGTCTGTTTCCTACTCTAAAATATCTGTTAGTTTTTCTAATGTAATCAAATTTATAGTTTTCTATTTTGGTAATTAAACATTCTATATGTGTTACTTTCAATTGGCTGAAATAGTTTTTTAAAGAAATCTTAAGGTTGCTGGGTGAATGCCTTTAGTCATAGCACAGGAGGCAGCGGCAGGCAGATCTCTGAGTTTGAGGCCAGCCTGGTCTACAAAGAGAGTTCCAGTACAGCTAGGGCTTCATAGAGAAACCCTGTCTCGAAAAACCAAAAAGGACACACACACACCATGAAAGAGAGAGAGAGAGAAAGAGAGTGAGAGAGAGAGAGCTTAAAGTAACAGTGCTGTAGTTGACTAGGTTCTGTATAGTACATACATATTGTGATATTCTGCTGGACCTGGGAATATAAGCAGGTGGAGGCGGAGACAGGTAGATTTTAGGCCTCTCTAGGCAGCTGGCCCAGATGGGGATTTCCATGTCAGGGAAAGACCCTGTCTCAAAAACAACCACACAATGAAGATGTGCCTGAGAAACAGCCAAGTTGCCATCTAGCCTCCATGAACACACATGAACAAAAGACAGTTGGCAAAAAATACTACTGGCTCTTAAACAAATGAACAGATGCTACACATGGAACAAAACCCCCAAAAGTTTCAGGATGTATTAGTATTATTGTTATTTTGAGACAGGGTTTCTCTGTGTAGCCCTGGCTGTCCTGGAACTCTCTCAAAACTCAGAGATCTGCATGTGGCTTGCTCCCTCCTGAGTGCTCAGACTAAAGGTGTGCGCCATCGCCCCCTTTAGGATGCATTATTAATTATGGTGAGAGGCACCATATATATTGCCACAGATAAGGTAAATTAATTGTCTATGAGGGGTAATGTGACCATATCCATTAAAATTCAACATGCACATGACCCACCACTTCAACTTCTGGAAATTTCTACTCATGTGTGAAATGGCATATGTACAATAGCTGTAAATACAAAATACTGGAGCAATATGTAAGACCAATAAGGGATTGGTTATATGAATTTATGGTAAAACTATATATATGTTTTATATATATATATATATATATATATATATATATAGAGAGAGAGAGAGAGAGAGAGAGGGAGAGGGAGAGAGAGAGAGAGTTATTTAAACTATATATAGTTATATAAAAGTACATAACTATAAAACTATATTCAAAGAACACTTTGTAACTAGTTGCGACAGCTAATCTTGGTCCTTATTGAGTACATCTGGAATCAACTAAAACCCAAGTTAGGCATACCTGTGAGGGGTTTTCTTGATCAGACTATTTGGAACAGGAAGACCCACCCTGAATCTGGGCCACACCTTCTGGTGGTAGCCCACATAAAAGGACACAGAAGGCAACTTTTGATTTTCCTTCTTGCCCTTCCTCTTGCTGGCAATTCATCTATCTTGTTGCTGTGGCATTCCTTCACTGGTATTGGAATTAACTTCTTGGTGATTCCAAAGCACACTGAAGACCAGCAGCTCTCCAGGATTCCTCTAGAATTCCAGTGCCAGATCAAGACGCTGTACATTCAGTGTCATGGACTAAACAACTATTGGACTCTTGGCATTTCCACTGTGAGACAGCCATTGTTGAACTATTCAGACCACAACCTGTAAGCCAGTCTAATAAATCCCCTTTATGTTTTTTCATTCTCTCAGTTCTGTTATTTTAGAGAACTCTGAATAATGCACTAGTCAAACAACAAAAGAATGAAGATGTTCTTAAATGTAACATGAAAGGTTTTCATAATACATTAAAAAGAATGAAATATAGAAGCGACAAATAGTGTGCTGTAGTTGTATAGAATGGTAAAACTAAACACAAATATATATTTATATTCATGTAAAAAGGAAACCAATTATTAAGAGAGGTTATTGCTAGGCCAAGAAAAAAGAATAAGATGCAGAAGTACATGTAGTATACCATATAGCATGTAGAATGGTAGCATTAAATATAAACAGGTATATGTATAAAAAGAAATAAAATACTAACAGAGGAACTGGAAAACACGTTACTGTAGTCCTTTTGATGCTTGAAGCATGTTAACAAACTAAATAAATTATTGGTTCAAAGAATTTAAACACATAAAACAAAACAAGGAAATCCAAACCCTTGAGTTTGGCAAATAAGAATCTTATTTAGGTAAAGAAGTATAATGTATTAAATAAGAGTTTGTGGTTTATTCAGATTTCTGGAGTTAAAATATAAACTTCAGAGTTGGGGCTGGAGATGGAGCCCAGGGACTCGTGCAGACTGAGTCGGTGCTCTCATGAGCTATATTCCCAGCCCCTGAAATAGAAGCTGTTTTAGTAAGGACTACACGATGCTAAGCAGCAATCCAAGCATGCCATCCCTCCACTGTCAGGTGGTGAGAAGAAAAATGTCTGTGCCAATACTCAGTGTGTGCCTGACACTCAGAGACCAATCAACAGCATCTATTACTCTCAATAATCTCAGCCTTAGCCTCACAGACTACAGCCAGGATTTCTGCATCTCTTAGAATCCCCATGACAGTGCCCCTTACCAGCAGGAAATAGTTTGGAAAGAACGACGCCCAAATTCCCAATTATTGTCTATAAATGTTTGTTTTCATTTAGATGGACTTGGTTATATAAAATAAATAAATAAAATAATTAAAAAAAATAATAATCTCAGCCTTTCTCCTTTAGCTACTAAATGTCTAGTTCACACAGACTCCTGGATGTTCCTGAAACAAAATACCAAAATCAGATGTGTTATTTCTTTCTGTGTTTATTCTTTTCCTCACACCACTCAGTAACTCCTTCTGTATTCACTTGACTATCCAATCTAGAAATCTGGAGTCATTCTTAAGTTATCCTTCCTGCCTATTGCTCCTCCATGCTGAGATGCTTACCCCACTGCTCACAGTCCAGCCCGTGAATCTCTTAAGTGTTATATCCCATCCTTACCTTAGTTCCGTCTCTTGAAACCACTTCTATAGCCCACCAGGGCTCTCATCCTCTCATTCTCCCCATCACTATTCATCCTCTACAATACTGCCACAATTAGCTTCCTAAACTCAAACACAGTCATGTTCAGATTCTCTAAACAGCTCCCCAGTGCCCCAGAGGAGTCTCAACCCCTTAGCATATGCTCTTCAGTGACCCTGTCCTGACTACTTCCTCTCTTCAGCGCTGAACCCACACACATCTTCCACTTGAGCTCACATTCCTCCTGTCTTCCTAATCACCCTTGTCCTCCTTCTGTCCTCAGCCTGGATCAATGTTAAGTCAGGGGCTAGTGGGGTGAACTGGATAGAAAAGCAATTACAACTTTATTTTCACTAGCCTCTATCTGAAATTTAGTTTTTCAATTATGACAATAGGAACCATAACATTAGAATTTCCTGCCACCTTGTCACTGAAATCAGTTTTCCATATTGTATTACCATCCTTGTAGATTTTTTTTTTTTTTTTTGAGACAGGTATTGCTTTACCTTAAAGTATAAGTCTATTCATTTTAGTTCAATTTCTAATGTCTGTTTCCCAACATTTATGACATGAAGTAAAATACCGAATCACCAAAAAAGTCACCACCAAGAGGCCAAGACAAGGGGACACAGCACCTCTAAATTCTTTGTTTATCATGTTCCCAACGAGAACAAGACTCAGTAGACCCTGTGCTTCAGCGTAGGATAATGGGAACCAGAGCCATGGGCGTCATGCCTAGAGTCACAAGTTATATATAAACTAATTCTTGGCAAGGGGGTGGTGGGTCAGACCTTTGATCCCAGCACTCAAGAAGCAGAGGCAGGAGGATCTCTGTGAGTTCAAGGCCAGCTTGGTCTACAAAGCTCCACAGAAAAACCCTGTCTCAAAAAAAAAAAAAAAAAAAAAAAAAAAAAAATCAAAAACAGAAAGAGGAAAAAAAAAAAAAAAAAACTAAAATCAAAACGACAAAAACTAATCCTTGGAGGAACAGTGGTGACCCAAATGTAATTCTACAGTGGAACTTCTGGTTGCCTTACAAAGTGGCTTTACGTTTCCTCTATTCTTTATATTTATTTATTTATTTGTGTGCATATGTTTATGTGGAGGGGCATGCACCTAGAAACCAGAAGTTGATATTGAACAACTTTCTCAATTGCACTCTACCTTATTTTTTGAGACAGGGTCTCTCATTGAACCTGGAGCATAATACCAAGTAGGTTACACTGGGTGAATAGTGAGCTTCCAAGGGTCTGCTTACCTCCGTTTTCTTAGCACTGGAATCACAGGTGCCCCTTCCAAATCTGTTTTCTTTTACATGGGTATGGAGATCCAAGCTCAGGTCTTCATGCTTGTATAGCAAGCACTTTACCAGCTGAGCCATCTGCCTAGCCCTTGGTTTCCCTACTTCTCGGGAGACAGTTCCCAAGAGAACGTGTGTGTGTGTGTGTGTGTGTGTGTGTGTGTGTGTGTATGTATCAAAAACAAAAACAAAAACCACTGGGTCATGGTGACACATGCCTTTAGTCCCAGTACTTGAGAGGCAGAAGCAAGCAGATCTCTTTGAGTTCAAGGTCAGCCTAGTCTATAAAGTGAGTTCCAGGACAACCAGCACTATTACCACAGAGAAACCCTGTCTTGAAAAACAAAACAAAACAAAAACAAGGACAATGATATGCAGACAGTATCAATTTAGGGCAAATGAGACTTAGATGGAAGATTAAACAAAAGTAGTTATCACTTTTACTAGAAGTATATATTAGGAAGGGATTCTTATTTCCCATATTCCCCATTAGACCTAATTCACACACTAACATGAGAGCAGGCTTTTACATTCCCTTGAGTTCTTTAGGTATGAAAGAGATGCAACTAGCTTATTCAAAGATGCCCCATTCTTTACCTTACTGACCACGCCCTATTTAAACATCCTCCATCATCTCTTACCTACAGTTAGGAAGGTGCTCAACAGCTGCTCTGTGGCCACCGGCTTGATCTCTGTCCGAAGATTAACATATCTGCCAACCACCAAAGGAGCTCGTCGGAAACCCAGAATCCTAGTTTTGAAGGTTGGAGAGAAGAGAGAAATCTGTGGGGATGTATTTTAAGTTGTCTCAAAAACCATGGTCAATCCCATTACAGATAAAAAGGTTTTGGAGGTGGGTAGGGCACATTTAAAAGTCTTTCTTTCACTAGAAAATACCTATTTTGTTTTTATTTTCTTTGTTGTTCTTTTGTCTTGATTAGTTTTTCTACTTTATTCTTTGAGAACTTCACATCATGTACCCTGATCCCACTCATCTCCCTGTTCTCCTCATCTGCCCTGGGCCCTTACAACTTTCCCCCAATATTAAAAAAACAAACAAACAAAACAAAACAAAAAAAACTATCAAACCAACCAAACAAACACAAAGAAGAAAAGGAGAAGAATCTCATCATGAAAGCTGTAGTGTGAGCCATTGAGTTACACTGTTAACCCTATAGTCCTTTCATCTCTACTTACAAGTGTTCATTGCAAGGAGACACTGTTCAGGTCAAGGCCTCTGGTGTCTGTTAAGACTATTGATAATGGGCTCTCACTGGGGTGCCTCTTGGATATCCTGTTGTTGTCCTATTTCATGGGGATCCTGTAGTTTTGGATCTGTAGGTCTGTCCCTTTCTCACATTCCAACAGTTCATAGATGAGATGGATGTTGGGGTGGGCTAACTCATAATACTGGTTCTGGGTCTGGGTAGTAGCTGGGCTGGTCAGCCTGCCAGCCTTCCTCCATTGTCACTACCTGGATGAGCTCTCCAGCACTGCCTCAGCCAATCCATCCAACACAGTCTGCAGCAAGGAGCAGGGTCAGTCCTCTTGCTCTTAGGCCCTAGGGTCTGGGTTCTGGCTCATCCACATTGACACCACCAGGGCCAGCTCCACAGTCTTACCCAGACACTCCTTTAATCCCTGCACTGGGGGGGTGGAGGGGCAGAGGCAGGGGGAATCTCCTTGAGTTCGAGGCCAACCTGGTCTACAGAGTGAGTTCCAGGACAAAACCAAACAACAACAACAAGACAACAAAATTAACAATGCTTTAAGGAGTATATGAATTGAATATTTTCCTGGCAATAAAACATTATCATTTTAGTAGGTGAAAATAGTAAGCTATGGTTCCAAGAGGATTTTTAAGTATTTCTAGTGATAAGAAATCCACCCCATAGTTATTAGCACTAATTATTGCAGTTATTCTTTTAACTACTTATGGTATTTATTTTCCCATTTTAGTCTTTTTAAACAGTAGCCTGCTTGGCTGTTTAAGCATGGGAATTGAAGGTGTACACCACATGCTCAGCTCTGCTTCTATTTTTTTAATAAAATGTTTATTTTACTTTATATGTATGAATGGTTAACATGCATGTCTGATGGATTCCCTGAAACTGGGGTTACAGATGGTTGTATAGGTGCTAGGAATTGAACCCAGGTCCTCAGGAAGACCAACAAGTACTCTTAACCACTAAGCTATCTATCCAGCCTCCAGTCCTCTGTGTTTGTGACCCATATTCTACTACAATATGTGTGTAAACATATGAAAAATTCTTCCTAACCAAGAAAAAGGCAAAAATGTGCCTCTTCTTTTCTGATTTCCTCATGTTTTTAAACAGCTTCTCTTTCTCCTGCTGTCTCACCATGGCTGGGGTTGCCTATAAGCAAGTGCTCTACCCCTGAGCCACCTCCCGCCCTAGCCCACAATCATGTCTTTTAGTGTCACTATGGCAGACTGAAAGAGAACATGTGAGGAGGAATTGGGATACCAGAGCTTGGCTAAGAGGTGCCTGTAAAACAGTATCAATCTTTCTAGAGGGCTCTATATCCTCAAATTTCTGAGACAAAGTTTTGCCATGTAGAGGTTGGTTTTAATCTCACTATATAGCCCAAACCACTAGTCCTGGTGTCTTTGTCTCCTTGTATGGAGATTACAGGTATGTGCCACCACAACTAGCTATTGTTTACATTAGAATTCATGGTGATTTTGTTGTTTCTTTTTAAAAAGACTATTCTGATTTTGAAGTTGTATATATTTTGTGTAAAAAAACAATAAAGTCCATTTTCAATTCCATGCTATATAGTTAAGGTGATAAGTCAGTATTACTTAAAATAAAAACAAAACAGCAGAGCTATGAGGCCCAATTAATGGCCAATTCAATACAGAGATTTGAATTCAAACTTCTGTTTTCATTCTGACATTTTATTTACTGATTATTATCTTCAACCATGTTGACATAAGGCATGCCAAGAATGAAATTACTGGGGTTAAAAATATTTAAAAGTCTGGGGTTAAAAATATTTAACTCTCTTGAGGCTGGACAGATGGCTTTGGCTAGGAGCACTTGCTGCTCTTGCAGAGGAACTAGATTTGGTTCCCAGCATCCACAGCAGCCTACAACCATCTGTTAACTCCAGTTCCAGGGACTCCAATGCCCACTTATGGCCTCCCTGGATAGTAGACACACATGTGATACACAGACATACATGCAAGAAAAACACTCATAAACACACACACATACATACACACACACACACACACACACACACACACACACACACACACACGAAAAATATTTCAGTCGGGCAGTGGCGGCGCACACCTTTAATCCCAGCATTTGGGAGGCAGAAGCAGAGGGATCTCTGTGAGTTCCAGACCAGCCTGGTATACAAGAGCTATTTTCAGGACAGGCTTCGAAGCTACACAGGGAAACCCTGTCTTGAAAGAAAAAAAAAAAAAAAAAAAAAAAAAAAGTATGTCTTTAAAAAGATTTCTTGTATTTTGTTTTTAAGGCTGCACCCAAATATTAGGTATTTACAGAACTACAATGGCTAATTGTACTAATCCACAGCTATAAATAGAGAACAAGCCCATGTTACAGCTGCATCACTCACTTCTTGAGGGAGTCCACAAGTTCTCTGCAAGAGATGATGAACAAGAAACAGGAGATTCCACATACCTGTCCAAATGAAAGGCTGCCACCTCTGCATTGTGTCTGTCATAACCAGCATATGGCTCCCCTTCTACCACATAGTCTCTGCTATACCTGAAAGAGAATGGGAAGCACAGATGTAGACATGAATCCCATCAGTATTGGAAGTGACAGCACACAAGGTAGAATACACACTTGAGCAAGCCTGACCTGCTCCCTTTGTCAACCCTGAGCAATAGGTGTTAACACACAAGGCTGGAAGATGAAGAGATGAGTGGAGACAAAAATCCAGAGCACTGTTTTTGAATAAAACATGGATGACATTTGGTTTACTCATAAGAAAGTCTTTCCGAGCAGTGGCTTTTTGTTTGCTTTTGCTTTCTTTTTTTTTTTTTTTTTTTTTTTGGAGACTGGGTTGAGGCTCTCTAAGGTGGCCTCAAACTCAAGAGATCTGCCTGCCTCTGCCTCCCAAGTGCTGGGATTAAGGGCATTCACCAGCACCCCCAACCAGGAAGCTCAATGACTCTATATACAATTTAAACTCATTAATTGGGGAGGAAAAAATATTAAACTCACCTATGGCTGCTCACCTGCACTCCTGAACCGAAGGGGACCTATAGGGTTTTAGAAGGGATCTGAGAAATAGAAGCTGAGACTCAAGTCAAGAGCAGTCCCGATGCACATAGGATTTCCAGTGCTCAAACCATGGAAAACAGAACTACAAAAGGTAATAGAATACAAGGTAAAACCCTATCTCTAAAGCACATTTCCCAGGCAAAATGATGAAGTCCTATTAGAAGGCAATCATGCACCACCATCCCGGTGGCATCCGTTTCTTCTCAGCCTGATCCACATACCATGCATAAAGTTCCTAGTACAAGTAATCACTCAGAGTTTCTTAGGTTTACACCAGCTGCCTTTAAATTGTCAGTTTTAAAATACCACTGCAGCAGGGCTGGAGAGATGGCTCAAAGGTTGGAAGCATTGGCTGCTCTTCCACAGGTCCTGAGTTCAATTCCCAGCAACCACATGGTGGCTCACAACCATCTGTAATGAGATCAGGCGCCTACTTCTGGCACACATGGAAGCAGACACTAATAAAGATTTAAAAAAAAAAAAAAAGAAAGAAAGAAAGAAAGAAAGAAAGAAAAGAAAGAAAAGAAAAGAAAAAAGCCACTGCAGCAAAAGCTGACACTGTAACAAGCACCCTTCTCTCCACCACAGGTGTAGGTGGCCAAACAGCTGGGGAACAGTTCTTGAATATATTTTAGGACTTCAGCACATTCACAAGAAAATACAAGATGAGCTGTAGTACTTCCTCCAGCTGAAGCATTGTCTAAAGTCTGCTCAGAGTGAAGAGCATGATCCTAGAGGCATCTAGGAACTTTGAGGGGGAAGCTTGAGAGCAAAGAGGAATAAGAATCAAAGCGAAGGAACCCAATGGAATTGGTCAGAATTCCGTGCTGTGTGCTTGTGTTTTCTGTGTGCACAAATTTTTATGTGTGTGTGTGCTCATGTAGGCTAGAGGATACCTTGGTGTCATTTCTAAAGCACCATCTAACTTTTTTTTTCTTTTCAAGTTTTATTTATTTATGTATTTTAGGTATGAGTGCTCTATCTGCATGTACACCTGCATGCTGGAAGAGGGCATCAGACCTCATGTGGTTGCTGAGAATTGAACTCAGGACCTCTAGAAGAGCAGTCAGTGCTCTTAACTACTGAGCCATCTCTCCAGCCCCCATCTAATTTAAAACCAATTTTTTACTGACATAGAACTTATTGTTGGCCAGTGGGCCCCAGGGATCCCCAATTCTGCCTCCTCAGTACTGAGATTACAAGCATATATCACCATGCCTTGCTTTGTTCACACTTGTGTGTATGAAGATGTGCTTGCCTATGTGAGTGTGTGTAAGCCAGAGGTTGATGCAGGAATACCTTTCTCTATTGCTTCCTACCTTACTATTTTTGAGACACAGTCTCTTACTTAAGTTTTCTGCTTTAACCAGTGTAGCCTGAGTAAGAATGATTCCCACAGACTCATATAGTGTTTAGTCACCAGGGAGTAGTGCTATCTGAAAGGATTATAAGGGTTAGGAGGTGTGGCCTTATATACTGGAGGAAGTGTGCCACTGAGGGTGGGCTTTCTCCAGCACTACTCCTGACTGCCATCGTGCTTTCTGCCACTATAATGGACTAAATGTCTGAGACTGTAGGCAAGTCTCCAATTAAATGCTTTTTTTTTTTTTTTTTTTTTTTTTTGGAGTTCCCTTGGTCATGGTATTTCTTCACAGCAACAGAACACTGAATGAGATAGCTAGACTGTGAGCTAGCAAGCCCTGGGGAGCCACCTGTCTCTAGCCCCAAAGTACCAGGACTGAAGTCACCAACTCCTAGCTTTTCATGCAGATCCTAGGGATCCAGCCCAGGTTTTCATGCTTGCTCTGCAAGCAGCTTACCCACTGAGCTCTCTTCCCAGCCCATGCCTGGTGTTTTTTATGTGGGTTCTGAGGACCAAACTTACCAACTGAGCCATCTTCCTAGCCCTGAGGTCTGAAATTCTTTGCTCATGTTTTAACTACGTGAAATATGAAAAATTAGAATTCTGGATCTCATTTTCCTCATCTATAATCTCCAAAGGCCCATTCAGCATGTACTAAGATCATTCACTTTTACCTAGTCTTAGGTCCCTGCTTTATGTCCCCTTTCCAATATAACTGCATTTATTCCTGTAAAAATCAATTTACTTTAGAATGGATACTACTACATGGGGGGGGGGGGGAAGGGTGGAGTTCCATACAGGGTTTCTCAATATAACCTCTCTAGCTGTTCTGGAACTCACTCTGTAAACTAGGCTGGTCTCAAACTCACAGGGATCTGCCTGCCTCTACCTCCAAGCGCTGGGATTAAAGGCATGCACCATCATCGCCCAGTGGAAAAATCACTTTTATAATGTAGTAAAAGACATACATGATAGTATTACTCTGTATCCCTACATGTGTCCTCTATCTGCACATAAGTCCCACCTCTGAAAGAAGGTCATAAACCAGCCTCCATAAAGCTAAGACACAGAGGCTATTAAAGAAAGGTGTATGTCTCAACTGACTTAGATTCTCCTCAACAGGGAATGACCCAACTTAAGTCACTGACAGAGGAGCAGAATTCACACAGTGACAGTCCTGTTCTTCTAGTGAAGGACATCAGGGTCTGAGCAAGGATATCATGTGCACTCACAGCAGGGTTATGTGTAGCTTTTGAAACCCTAGACGTCAGAATAGTACTTTGCCGAGGGTTCAAGATCTGGAATGAGTTTCTGTGGTACTTCAACCCACACCCAGTCTCTTGTCTGTGACAGTGTCTGGAGAGTGTGCAGTGAATGAAGGAGTCTACACTGTGCTGGTGGAGGAAGAGACTGCCCTGAGGTACAGACAGGAAGGCCAGACCCTAGGATCCTTTGTTATTAGGCTGTGGAGGATGGGATTGTCTGGGGCACAATGGGAAGACCCTGGATGTTTTAAAGCTGGGAAGCAGAGAGAGAATATGAGGGAGCCAGGCATAATGGATACACACCATTAATCCCAGCACTCAGGAGGCAGAGGTAGGTGATCTCTGAGTTTAAGGCCATCCTGGTCTACAGAGTTTCTGGCCAGCCAGGGCCTGAGACCCTGTCTAAGAAGAGGGGGAGAGGAAGGTATTTAATGGTACAGAGTGCTAACAAAGACAGAGATAAGCAAGAGTGACTAGGAATTATGCCCGTACCTCCTGCCACCTCTCCTACACATCAGTCTGGTCTTTCTGTCCTCCACTGTACCTTCCTTCAACACCTCAGGCATGTCTGTAAAACCTATGGTCAACAACTGCCAGGAATATCTATCTTTCCACACACTTAATCCCATATCACCCTTCATTCTCTAGTGTAAGAAAGCAGGTGTGGATCACTTAAATATAGTCATAATTTCTTTCCATACAATTTTTCAACCCCAATATTCTGTCATTAATCCTTTAAGCTACAAACCAAGAGATCAAGAACTACACTTCAAAACTGAATTAGTGGACCAATGAGATTGCTCAGCAGGTAAAGGGACTTGCCTCCAAGCCTGATGGCATTAGTTCCATTTCTGGGACCCACATGATAGAAGGAAAAACCTGATTTCCACAAGTTATTCTCTGACTTCCAAACACATCATGGCACATGTGCACACACATACATACAGACACCAAAAAAAAAAAAAAAAAAAAAAAAAAAAAAAGATCCTGAATTAATTACTTTTTATTTTCATAATAGGTGCTCTACATCAAGCAAACAAAAAAACTGTATGGCCAAATAAAAGCTGTTTAAAATTCTGATGGGTCAAACTCCAGCTGTACTAAATTAAATTACTATGAAGCAACTTTGTCAAATCGGTTTCTTATTGTGGAATAGGAACTGAATTGACTTAGATGTTAAAAGTATTTGGTGTAATGCCCGGCAAATGCCATGCATTCAACAGAAATTAGATCTTGAGGCCTACCTCCCAAGTGCTGGGATAACACATTTGCACAACCACAACAGCCCTACTGCATCTTTTTGTTTGTTTGTTTTTGAGAAAGGGTCTCTCTATAGTTTGGCTGTCCTGGAAATTACTATGTAGACCAGGTGGCCTCAAATCCACAGAGATTCTCCTGCCTCTGCCTCCTGAGTGCTGGGATTAAAGGTGAGCTCCAACACACCTGCATTTACTGCATTTTTTAACTTGCCTAATACCTCAGGTCCAGACAAATACTGACCCCTTTCATTTCTGAGGTTCTAAATAGATCCATTTCCCAGCGGCTTTTATCAGTTAATAAATTCATAACAAGGAAATGGCATTTTATACATTTCCCTCCATATTACTCCCTCTACTCTAGCTAGAAATCTAAAGGTATGATTCTCTCAAAAGTGTCACCAAAGGATGAAAAAGAACATCTGCTGCTGAGTCACTTAAGGCAGAGTGTGAATCATGTTCTGTTTCATTCACAGAAAACCATGAAAACAATAGATGGTCAGTGGGTATCAGGGATCCAATGGCAGAGAGGAAAGGGTAGAGCCCAAAGGATTTTTAGGGCTGAGAACCACATTACATTACAGTGATGGACATTTGCCTAAATCCACAGATTATACCCCCAAGGAGTGAACCCCAATATAAACTATGGACTTTTTTCTTTTTCATTTGTTTTTTTTTTTTTTTTTTTTTTTTTTTTTTTTGTTTTCAAAGCAGGGTTTTACTATGTAGCTCTGGCTATCCTGAAACTCATTATAGATCGGGTTGGCTTTCAACTCTGAGATCCATCTGCCTCTGACTCCCAAGTGCTGGGATCAAAGGTGTGCACTGCTATGCCCAGACAAACTTTAATTAACATACTATTATTGGCTCATCAATTGTATTAATGAACATTAAACATTAATTAACAGGAGAAAACTGGAGGAAAAGGTAGTTAATAAGACTTGTCTGTATTTTTCTTAAAATCTTCCATGAACCTGAAACTGCTCACAAAACAAAAACAAGACACAACGAAAGCCCTAGATGAAAAAGTCAACACTTTACCACTGACAGGACTCCAAGCTAACTCTGTAGCTCCTGATCTTTGAATATCCAACTTTTAGTTACACTTTGGGGGGAAGGGGTCAACAGATAATGTTTATTTTCTACTCAATTCATTCTGTATCTCCAATACTTGCCACACTGAAGATATTTAGTACAGTAGAAATCAACAGCCAGGCAGAAGCTTAGGCCTGCATGATGCAGGAGGAACACTAAGTTGATTATCACCAAGCCTGAGTTACACAGTGAGAGTATGTCTCAAAACAAACACCCCAACAAACAAAGCCCAGCGAAATCAAAGTTAGTTGTGTTCAAAATTTCAGTTGTTTGTACTTTACTATATATAGCCCAGGCTGCCCTTTGTAACAATCCTTCTGCCTCACCCTTCTGAGCGCAGATTACAGGGCTGAACCACCATAGCTGATTTTTTTGAAAAGGCTTAAAGGAACCAAAACAGGTTCCCATAGATTTCTTCCACTCAAAGAACTGCTGAACCTTCAGAACTAGAAAGACTTTGGAGATGTTCCAGTCTAGCTGTCATTTTACTGAAGGGAACAGCAAGGACAACACTGTCATGTTGAAGAATAACCAGCATATACACCTTCTAAGATGAAGACTCACCGCTTAGGTTTGAAGACAACTTTCTGTCCTCCTTCAAGGATCAGTAAAGCCTTTAGCTGTGTCCCTTTATAGCCCACATCAGCTTTAATAATTTTCTTAGTGGCCATGGCGTGCATGATTGCTCCCAGCTCTGGTGTCTCTTCAGGGTATACTTCCCGGGGTACCACCCACTGGGCTGCAATCTCCCAAGGAGACTGCAGGGTGTGGTCCAATTTAGGCACCAGCTCCACCCTCAAGCCAGTCATCATTCGGTGAAAGGCCCTCTGGTCTTCTCGGTTGGCAGCTGATGTGTCTAAGTTGTCTATCAGGAAAACTTTGGTGAAGATAAAGATGACGAGGAGTATTGCTAGCAGCACAACTCGCTGCTTCAGCTTCATGTTGGCCTCTTTTCCTTTTCCTTGACCCACTTTCTCGCTGGCTTATCAAGGAGAACAGGTGGTGATGATTACAAGGCGACTCCGTGATTACATAGCTCTTCACTGCAGTGCCTCCACAACTCCTGCAGACCAAAGCAGAAAGCACAGTGTGATCAGGGATTCTGTCCTTCTGCCTCCACATTTCGCAAGCCTCTAATATGTTACTAATCCTTTTAGTGACTGACTGCTAATGCTCAGCTTGAAAAGGCCCATTAACTAAAAACAGTATGGGAAAGGCCTAGCAAGGAAGGACTGGGTACACGGAAAATTCTAAGAAACACGTTCCCATTTTCATTAGGAAATGGGAACATCTAGGAGTCATTTGGCTGCTATATGTAGTTCCAAAAATATCAAAAATAAATAAATAAATAAAAGGGGGGGGGGTGAAAACGAGAAAGCAAAATACTGAGCTATACAGAGTTTTCAATTCCATGTTTTACTATTCAGAATCCACAAGTAAATCCTTGTCATGTCTGGTAATTTCCCAGCTCCTTTCCACACAGTTTTCTGATGACTTGAACAATAGTAACTCCCAAGAATGCCAACAAGAGTCTAGTAAAGAGCATTACTCCTTTTCAAATACAAATGCCCAGTAATCAGACAGGGCATGGCTGTTCACACATACTCTCCTTAATCAGACCTTCACTAATTATTTTTCCTGGTAAAATACAGATAATCAAATCTGAATGAATTAAGTAAAGGAAAAACATTCCCCTATACCATCCAGCTGTTAATAGATCAGACAGCTCATGAAATCTGAACCATAGCAACACTGCTATGTCTTGAATGGTGGGACACACAGTGAGAATACTAATGCCATGGACCAAAGTAAGTGGTGCTTCCAGTGTGAGCTCCACACACTCTGGGCAATTCTAAAAACAGAGGGTGTCAAAACATACAACCCAGTTTTATTTGTATGCTGAGAGGTTGCTCTCCAACCCACTGGGCTTTGTTTGTTGTTCTTTGAGACCAGGCCTCAGGTAGTTCAAGGCTGACCTCATGGTCTTCCTGCTAAAAGCTCCTAAGTGCTCTGGTTACAGACATGGGCTACAATGTCCAGCTCCACAAGGCCATTTTAAAATGTGTATAAGCTTACTCTGCTATATGCCTACGGCTTGTACTGTAAAGCACTGGGACAAAATAAACGACAAGAAGATAACAGGGTGTTGCTTTGTTCTACAATTCATTCAACAACTCAAACCATTAATCTAAGAAATAAGACCAATACAAAAAAACAGAGCAAAGAACTGAGCTGAGATGCTCCTATCTAAATCAACTGGAAACAACCCAAGAGAAAATTCTGAACAATGCTTTCCTTGCTTTGAGCCAGCTGATGTGACATTCATTCTCAACTATTCTTTCCTGTTCTTTTCATGAGGAAGCAGAAAGTGAAAGTTAAATTCAAATCCTAATTATCCCCAGCCACCTGTTCAGCTTTATCACGATTTCTCATCACACTGTTAAGTTGGAACAAAAGCTGTGTGAGTACAACTAAAAATGTAATTGTTTTTATTTAGTTATTTTTTTAAGTTAGTACACAGTAAGTAATAGGTTCCATTATGCTACAATGTAATTGTGATGGTTATCAGATTTGGCATGGAACTCAGTAAAAGTTCCTGGTAATTATGTACAACAGCAGTATTAGGAGAGTAGATTTCAATATTAGCTTTAATGATACTGTTGTTTCATGAGTTTGTTCAACAGTACACACTGCAGGGTGCAGTGATACAGGAAATAGAAATACAGCAGCATCTCTAGCACCTCCATCCCCAAATAGACAGTTCTGGGTAATGGGACAGCTAAACAGGCCTTTCCTTTCTATAAAATACACTCTGGGACTAAAGTTTGGCTGACTAAACTTTGATAATACATATCTAATGGTTGTGCATATTTTACGCAGAATAAAGATAAACTTCCCTCCTATTATAAGAAACAGCACCTCCAAACTTGTTTTGTTTTGGCTGAGTGGCTTCTGAAGCAATCTCTTTCTGTCCCCTCTTCCCACTTACCAGGAGTGTAGATATATGTACCACTCCATCAGGCTTGGGCTGTTTTGTTTTTTGTGCCAGGAATGATACCCAGGGCCTTGAGAATGCTAAAACCAAGTGCTCTAACACTGAGCTATTCACCCCAGTCATATCTGTCTTTCTGTCTAATCACCATTACAAAAGCAAGTTTCAGAAGTCTCAAAATTAAGACAAAAAGGTTCAAATCTGAAACCCAGTTTGTAAGCTTTTTGTAAGTTATGAAATACCATCACCTTTTGAAAAGGCCTCAGACGAACATACTCATTATTTCAGGGCTGTCAACAATTCATCTACTCTGGAAGAACAGAAATTCATATTGCAGGAGTTGAAGAATTCAACTGTTACATTATCACTATTCATCTTTGAAGAATTATAGTGAGAAATGGAAATATAGTGAGAAATTGGAAAAATGTGAGTTTTCACATTTATGATTTCAACCTCCAGGTAAAATAAGACTGTATGTGGTATATCACTATTCTTTCTTCTTTTTTTGAAAGGAGATAAACTGTTTGAAATAGGGCCACACTACACAGTTCAGGTGGGCCTTGAATCCATAGCCAGCAGTGTGGTGAGTGGTGGGATTACAGGGTGTGCCCACAAAACTGCCTATTACTTGGCATTGTTCTTTGCCACTGTCTTCCACTCCTCCAACCCCAGCCACCAGTTCTCTGTAGTTCTCAGCACCTCCTACTGGACCCTGGAAAGAACACATTTCTGGACCTGCAGGCTTCAATAGAGCCTAATTAGTCCCTTGACCACCCTGAATTATAAAAACTCCTTAATAGCACAAGTAAAGCCTTACTCCAAGTGGTATTGGGTGAGGCAGCCCTCTCACTGCCCTCCTTGACTTCCACCAATGAAGTAACTTAGTGATGCTGTTTCTCCCCATAATGTATAGCTGCCCTTTGTTTCCACCATTCCTCCTTTCTCCTTACCTCCTGTTTAAAACCATTGCCTTCTCTCAAGGCCCATCTTCAAGGGTGTCCTGATCCCTCCCCACCATCTATGCTGACACCTCCCTCCTTCTGACCAGTGCATAACTACATTCTGCCTTCAGTTGCCTTGTACACAGTTCCTAATTACCTGCTCAGAAGTACGGCTCCTTGGGAGGGTCCCCCCCCCCTTGCTCCTTTATACTTGAGGAAGGATCCCCAAGACCCACCTTCTAGGCTTTTTAAATGATTATTATCCTTTTTGATTTGAGGCAAGCAGTATACTATATACTCTGCAAGCTGGATTTTTTTAGATCATCTACTTTAGACATAAGAAAATAAAAGCAGGGGAACTGGGTATGTTCCAAACTACTCATGAAAACCTCCCTAGCACTCCCAAAGCACCACTGTATGCCTGCTCTATTTCATGTCCTTACCTCCTGCTGTAAAACACTCACACAGTGCAACACTGTCCAGTTATTCTACGCTCATTTGTTTTCCTGTTTGTTATATGGAACAGAGTCTACTTCAAAGAACAAGTAGACTCAAGGTAATAACATAACTCAGAAAGTGTTAAATATAAAAGAGGCAGTGCAAGGAGAACATTTGCCAACAGCATCCACACTAAAAGCTGGCGTGAACCCACAGTGCACAGTTCTGGGAAGCAGATCTTTATAAGCAGTTTTCCTAGGAACCCTGTTTCACTCCCAGCAGCCCACGTGGGGGCTTGCCACACAGGCTCATTCACTTTCACTCTTCACATACATACACCATCACTCTGTGTATGTGATACATGTTTGGAAGGACAAACCTTCCACTGTAAATAAAGTGCTTCTACAAGAGCTTTATAGATTCAGAGGGAAGCAAATGTGTTATCTTAGTATAAAGTCCTCTGTTCAAGAATCCAGTGATGCTGCAAGGAAGATATACAGAAAAACATCTTGATGCAGGGTCTATAAATCATGCAATTAAAATTCACATATGTGGTAACTAAGGAAAGGGAGCACACCTAGCCCAATACTTACTGGGGTGGGGGGTCCTTTAAGTCACAGCTCTGGAAAGGCTCTGAGCCTCATGAACAGCCTTGCCCCTTTGAATGGGCCTCTGATTTGACAACTTCACACCAGTCCCAACTTTTATTCATAACAATGAAAAGTGAAAGTTTTGGTAAAAGTGAACACAAGTTTCTTTCTTTCTTTTTTTTTTTTTTTTTTTTTTTGCTAGAATCTCCACAGTCAAAATAGACTTTTACCACATAAAGGAAAGCCTTATGACTATAAAGTACCACAAAACAAATAATATTCAGTTACAAACATTTTGTGCAGAGGACTAGGGGTATTGTCATACTTCATTAAATAGCTAGTATGTGATCACAATTGAACAAGCTCTCACCTTGTCCCCCCATCCTGCCTACAAACTATAAGGTCCCCCTTGTCCCAAAAAAATCTTTGGAAAGTGCTGGTTTCAGCCAAACTGAAGATTTGGTAAGTGTAAGAAAATATTTAGATCTCAATGTGAAATTTTACATTTGTATATTTATTTTGACTATATGGGCAAACATATTCAAGACATTTATGGAAGTCAAAGGATCTCCTTGTGGGTTCTGGGAACTGAACTCATGGGTCATCAGGCTTGGTGGTAAGTGCCTTTACCTGTAGAGGCTATCTATTGAGATAGCCAAGATTTTAATTTAATTAAGATTAATTACTTCCACAGATAAACATCAAAAGTTCCTCCCACCAAAGAGTGGGGTCTATTTTTCCTTCTCTTGATTTGAGCTGGCTTTGCAGCTTGCTTTGTTCAAAAGGCTATACAAGTGGCTGCGTCCCACTTTTGAGCCTAGGAATTAAGACACCTGGTAGTTAGCTTCTATGTAGAGACAGTTTGGTTAGACCGCTACATGAGTGACCTGTATAGATAAAGGCTTCATGACCTAAAGAGATAAGAGGCACCCTGCTAGTCTGACCATCTCAGCTGAAACACCAAAAAAGTGTGATCAAAATCATTCCAGTCTCAGGTGAATTCTGAGATGCACAGAGCCAAACATGAGACTCCAGACCACACCAGGTAGACAGTAACCAACCGACAATGCATGACCTACACAATTATAAGAAAAAAACACAT